CTGCGTCTAGACTCCCACGGGGCATCGTGGGCTATTAGCCCGTGTGGTAATGGCTGCAATAATTCCTGCCCACGGTTCACTTTGGCCCTGTTCACACGGACATGGGCCCGTCTCGCCCGCTGGGACACTCACTTGGGATGGCTGGGGCTGCAGGCCTAAGGCCCGCCCCATTCGCTCCACACGCTGCTCATCCGACGACTGGTGACCTTGCTCTGGTGGCGTTTCCCCCCCACCAGGCAGGCGCCTTCCGCCGACTACTTTCCGACTACGCCTTGTTGGGTCCTCGACTGTCTGTGTCGCCACATGGCTCTCCTCCTCCTCCTTTGCATTCAACTGACTTGCGGCTATCGGCTGCGCCCCCCCCCTCCTCCCTCACGACGACTGCCGTGACGGGCCGTTCGACGTGTTCGTTCTCACGCTATAGGGTGCGCTCAACACTGGCAGCTGCCCCCACGGGCCACTACCGACGGGGTGGCTCCTTCACGACAGGGACTCGTTTCACCGCAGTGGTAGGCCTTGGCCTTAATACCCTCGTGTTACCTCCTGGCGGCGAGGTGCACCTCTCACAACACTGCGTCTAGATTCCCACGGCGCCTCGTGGGTTCTTAGTCCGTGTGGTATTGGTTGCAATAATTCCTGCCCACGGCTCACTTCGGCCTTGTTCACACGAACATGGGCTCGTCTCGCCCGCCCGGGCACTCACTTTGGATGGCTGGGGCCGCCGACCTAAGGCCCGCCCCATACGCTCCACACGACGCACAGCCGACGACTGGTGGCCTGGCTCAGTGGCGTTTTCCCCCCCACCAGGCAGGCGCCTTCCGATGGCGACCACGCAATAGGGTGCGCCCTTTGTGGCACTGGCAGGTCGGCCCACACCGGCTTCCTTCACCTGGGGCGCCGTCTGGCAGGGACGTGCTCACCGGTCTGACGCTCCGTCTGTTACCCACCGGCAATACACAGCCGACGGTTGGTGATAACGTACTGGCCCACGTGACGTTCCCCCCTCGTGCAGTGGCGTTTCTACTCGACTTCACGTCTAGTCCGCTGGTGCCTGGCTCGGTGATGCCAGCTTCGAGCACCTGAGGTGCTCCGTGAGTGAGGCCTTACCCCCTATCTGCTCGCCTTCGTTGCCCTTTCTCAGGCGGGCGTGCCTGGGTCGCAGCTGCCCGCTGTGCCCTGCCCTTCGCCGTCCGGTCTGCCGGGTGCTGGCGCCACTGTGCGACGCCCCGCTGTCCGTCGTCGGCTGCCGTTTTTGCGGCTTAATGAGGTTCATGTTGTTCCTCGCATGTTAAGATGCGTCTCCTTGAATCCCACCAGCCCTCTGGGCGTCGGTGGTTTAACGAGTTTCCTCTTCCACCCCTCCTTCTTCCCCTTCGGGGAGGGGTTTACCCCTCCCCCTACCCCCTACCCACTGACCTGGACAGGGGGGGCGGGGAGCGGTCAGAGCGTCCAAAACGGCCTCGGCGAGGAAGCCAAAATCATTGATTTTACTATGGTTTGGGCCCCATTTTGGCCTTCCGAGGGGGCAACGCTAATTAAGGTTCCCCTCTTCTTTGATCGATTTCCTCCACGATGGCCGCAAGAGGCCCCCAGGATGCCCCAAGAGGCCGCAGAATGGCCCCAAGATGGCCCCAAGAGGCCCCCCAAGAGGCCCCCAGGAGGCCCCCAAGAGACCCCCAAGAGGCCCCAAGAGACCCCCCAGAGGCACCCAAGGTGCTCCCAGAGGCCCCAAGATGGCCCCAAGAGGCCCCAAGAGGCCCCCAGGAGGCCCCAAAGAGGATCCCGAACGGCCCACAGAGGCCCCCCCGAGGCACCCAAGACGCCGAAAAGCCCCTCAGGACGACCCTCTACTCGCCTGGGCGTCGTTTCTGGACGGGCTGGTGGGGATTTTTTTTTTTTACAGCCGCAGGCGGAAGCGCCAGCGGCGGCCGGTCGCGGGCGGGCTGCGGCCGCGACTAGCGGCGGGCGCGCGCGAGGCCGCGGTCAAGCGGCAAGCAGCAGCGTCCTAGGGCGTCAGAGCCAGCGTGCAGTCCAGGGAGTCTGCGAAGCAGCCCCTGAACGGGCGTGCAAAGGGGCATCCAGGGAGTCTGAATACACCGAGGAAGTCCAGCATGCAATCCAGGGAGTCTGCACAACAGCCCCTGAAAGGACGTGCAAAGGTACATCCAGGCTGGTGGGGATACGCGAAGCGTCTAGAATTTAGTTGATTTTGTTCTGTGCACGTGCAACTGCGAGCATGCTTGCAGGTGCGGTCGGCTGTCGACAGTGACGGCTGGATTCGCAAATTATCTGGCTCTGTGCCCCAGACGACCTGATTGACCCACCCTCTGGAACCGTCCTTTGGGCCGCAGATCAAAAAAGCATGTGTGAGAGTGTGTGTGTGTGTGTTTGTGGGTGTGGGTGTGGGTGTGTGTGTGTTTGTGTTTGTGTGTTTGTGTGTGCTTGTTTGTGTGTTTGTGTGGGTGTGTGTTTATGTGTTTGCGCGTGCGTTTGTGTGATTGTGCGTGTTCGTGTGCGTGCCTGTGTGTCGGTTTGTTTGTAGGTTTGTGTGTGTGCTTGTGTGTCCGTGTGTGTTTATGTGTGTGGTTGTGTGGTTGTGTGTGGTTGTGTGTGTTTGTGTGTTTGTGTGTGGTTGTATGTAGTTGTGTGTTTGTGTGTTTGTGCGTGTTTTGTAGGTTTGTGTGTGTTTGTGTGTGTGCTTGTGTGTGCGTGTGTTTGTGTGTATTTGTGTGTGTTTGTGCGCATGTGTGTGTTGTGTGGTTTTGTGTGCGTGTGGCTGTGTTTTGTTTTACTTGTATATTTGGTGCTGTGTGTGTTTTTTCGTGTGTGTGCGTGTTTGTGTGTTTGTGCGTGTTTGTGTGTGTGCTTGTGTGTGTGCTTGTGTGTGCTTGTGTGTGTGTTTGTTTGTGTGCGTGTCGTGTTTGTGTGTGCATGGATTAGTCTGTGTGCGTGTATTTGTTGTGTGAATGTGTGTTTGTTGTGCGTGTTTTTGTGTGTTGTGGTGTGTTTTTGTGTGTGTGGTTTTGTGTTTTTGTGTATGTTCGTGTGTGGCTGTGTGTGTTTGTGCCTGTGACCTCGTCGTGGTGGCACGACCGAACGACTCATCGCGCCTTTTCCTCCATTCCCTCACACCGTTCGCCTTCTTTCGCGGTGGCGGGTGTTGGGTGGGTGGTTAACTCACCGCGCTCGTTTGCCCGTACATCTGCACTTTTGATCTCTGTCCATCCTTGCAATCTTTTGTGACGTGACAGTTTTTATGTTGCGGGCAGATTGCGCGTACCACTCTTGCCTCATGCACCTCATCTGCGGTGCTTTAATGCATTGGACGCGTCCGTGGCTCAGCTTGCTTGGTTTCTCTGCGGTTGGCGTGGTTGCGTCGTCGCCACACTTCGCCCGCATCACGGTCGAAGTGGGGTCGTAGGTCCACACTTTACCCATCTGCTCGCATGGCCGCGAGCACTACCAATCTGCTGCAGCGCATTTCTTTGCGGTACTTTGTCTACACCGCTCTGGTGATTCAGTGGCCGCATCTGGGGGGGCTGCTACGCGCCAGCTCGTGCTGGCTGCTCGTGGTGAGCCTTTGGCGCATTCACTTCGGCTGATCTGGCAGCCGGTACACTTCTTTTAATTATTTATTGCGCTTCATCGTCTAACAACCTCTTTGGTGCTTCAATGGCCAATAGTTCGAACCCTGCTCGCGCTTGTGTTTACTTCGAGCTGAGTTGCCTCCTCGGTTTTCTGGCCGCTGCACGGTTCGCTTGGAGTTGCAGTTCCTCCTTACGCCACCCATCGCTGCACTTGACAGTGCGCACGTTTTGTGCACTCTGCTTTCCGGAAACGCTCGATCGCAAGTGGCACTTCCATCTGCCGTCCGCGCCTGGGGATCCTCTGCGCCGCCGACTTAAAAAAGTGTTCGTGTCTGTGTGTCTGTGTTTGTGTGTGTTTTTGCGTGTGTCCTGTTGTGCGATTGTGTGTGTGACTGTGCGTGTGGTCGTGTGTGACTGTGCGTGTTTGTGTGTATGTGTGTGCTTGTGTGTTTATGTGGCTGTGCGTTTGTGTGTCTATGTCTTCGTGTGTAATTGTGCGTGTTTGTGTGTGTGTTTGTGTGTTTGCGTGTTCGTGTGCTGGTGTGTTTGTGTGTTTCTACGTTTGTGTGTTTGTGTGTTGCGTGTTTGTGTGTTTGCGCTCGTGCTTGTGATAGTGAGGGAGTGTGTTTGTGTGTTGTGCGTGTGTGCGTATGTGTTTGTGTGCTTGTGTGTGTTTGTATGGTTGTGTGTTGTGTGTTTGTGTGTTTGTGTGTTTGTGTGTTTGTGTGGTTGTGTGTGCGTGTGCGTGTGCGTGTGCGTGTGTAAGTGTGTGCGTGTGTCTGTGTATGTGTCAGGGGGGTAGATCCCGGGGGGGGGACGATCCACTCCCGAGTGACACGAGGGCTCCTGTTCCCCTCCTCCTGCTCTTTTGTTGTCATCGTCGCTACTCCTCATCCCGCTCTTCCTTTCCCCAAGGGGGGCCCAAAAGCACCTAAATTGGACGCGGCGCACCCCTGCGGGACGGATGCAGTCTATCACGGGACCTGGGCCAGACGGAGGCAAAAGCTATCGCGGGACCTTGGTTAGCATCCACGGGGCGGCTGCGGTCTGGCAGGGGAGGGCGACGGGCTGGAAAACCCCCCAAAAGGAAGTGACGGGAGGTGAGCGAGGTTTTTGACGGGCTCCTGGGGACAAACACAAACGACCGCTGTGACGGGAGTGAAAGTATCTTCGGGGGGGGGTCCTGGACACCGGCCACTCTGCACGCCAGGGCGCGATTCGCACTTAAGATGGAAAAGCCACCCGCCATGAGTGTGCCGTAGCCCGCATGATTCTGCGATGACATCGTACCGATGCGCTTTGCCATCCAGCGGCCTGCCCATGCATCTCCTGTTCCTTGGCCGACGTCCCAACGTATACGATACATCCGCACTCCACTTTACTCTGCTCAATCGGATAGCCCTTCCCCACAGC